CAGTGGGGAGCTGCGCGGGGCCCGCAGCCAGCCCGGGCCGGCGAGTGAAAGGCTGGAGAATGGGAGATAAACCTGCGTGTGCGGGGAACAGGAGGACAGTGAGTGCAAATTGCAAGTTCATAATTACAGATAATTATAGACTTTCCATAGCCGCTGTGCATAATTACATGATTACAGATAATTGGAATGAATTAATTACAGGTTATCAATGGAAGCCAAAGGAATCTATGGCAGTTCTGTTACAAGCAACGGTAGAAGTGTTGTGTTTTCAAACAGCTTTGTTTTAAACAAATTGCTTGAGTTCCCTGACACAGATTTTTAAATGTTTTGGAAAAAGGGAAAGAAAGTACCACGAATATTGTCCACATGTGTGGAAGGATTAAATGTGTTTCAGGAAAACAAAAAAAGCAAATTTGTTAACCTGATGTCATTAGCAAGAATAAAATAAAATGAGTGAAACTTTGTAAACATTTAGATACTACAAATAAAGTTAATATGGAGATTAAAAGCCAACCAACATATGCTTGAAAGAGAGATCTCCTTCGTTCCTCTGGTGTTTCTCCTTGAAAGGGGGTTTCAAGACCCGATTAAGCAGTTGATGATATACTTAGGGTCACATACTTGAAATTCTCAGGAATTTTGCTCTAAGCATGACTTAACAATTTAGTTAAACAAAGGTGGTGTAGCAAGGCAAAATTTAAGAATGAGTTTAGAATAAATCCGGCATCTTGATTGTTAATTGTCAGCTCTTCCACTTACTAGTTTTTGTTCAAATACTAATACTGACGTAATTTATCGAAAAGGTTTATAACCTTTGCTGTTAACGTTTACTGATGACAGATGGGTGAGGTGATCAGTGACAAAATGTTACTGCTGTAGCCTGGACCTTCCTGTTTCCAAGTTGGAGAAGGATCTTAATATAATGAAAAAGACTGTGTAAAGTCTAGAAACCATGGCAAGTTCCCACCACAAACACAGAGGTGGCAGAGAGTGACTTTCAGGATTTAGTTGCATTAGTGACGCAATTTGAACTTCACTGTTGTGGGAACAGTTGATTTGTTGTTTTTTTGGGTTTTTTTTCCTTAAAGAGAATCAAGCTGGAGTGTCATATGTGTGCACATGGTGTTGTTAGAATGGGCTGCTGGAACATAATCAGTTACAGTAGTTCTTAAGATATAAAATTACTGGAGAGTCCAGAGGTGGCCACAAAAATGCTCTGGTTCTGGAAAGCAAGCCATACAACAGACTTGGTGAACTCGGTTTATTCAGTCACATCCAAGAGAAGAGGGCAAAGAAGTGACTCAGCCACTCTGTGGAAATCCAGGCCTATGGGAATGTTATCTGATAGCTGAATATTGTCAGACTTTCCAACAAAGGCATAATGAGATCCAGTAACTGAAAGTCAAAGCTACACAAATTCTTTTAAATATGACACAATTTCCTAGTAGTGATGTAGGTTAATTACAGGAATAGTTTATGGGAGAGGTTAAAGGCTTGCCATATTTGAAGCTCTTAAACTGAAATGGTAACAATTTTGAAGATGGGATTAAACGTGAAATATTGGGCAACTTGCTGGTGCAAGGATGCCCATGTGGTTTGGGGGAAATCGGTGATATTATCAGTCACCTTCTGGGACTCTTTACTTCTTAGGCTACTTGGCTGTAGAAATAGCAGGATTTTATTTTTTTAAATGTTGCTTAAAGGGCTGTAGTTCTAAATTAAGACAGCTTTAAGCAATCTTACGCTTTTGGATGAACCTCTGCTTCAAGGGGGGAATTCTGCATGTTGTTCTTACAGAGGAAAGTTAGATTAAGGTAGTGTGTTTCTTCATCCACTGTTCTTTAAATCATCAAAGTTTGGTAACAGAGAGCAGAGTTGGGCAAACGGGTGTGCTATACTAGTTCAGAGAACCCCCCCTCGTTTACTGTCTTCCCCATGTGTTTGCAACCTGATCCAGGTCAGGAAGAGATTTCCAGCCAAGTCGGCCTGTTAAGGCATCATACAAGTTTTTCACCCTCCGCAAGAGAATAGTTTTCATGCTGGGACTTTCTGGTGTCAACTGGTTTTATCTCACCAGGTTCTTGTAAAGGGATTTTGGGATCTATCTGTCTCAATGTATTGTTTCAATAGGATGAGAATGCTTTTGAAGTAGTAGGTTTTATAAAAGGGTATTGGATGATTGGGTCAACTAGAGGATCTGATGATTCACTCTGAAATGATGACTTTTTAATTAGAATAAATAAGTTTCCCTGCGCTTCTGTGAATAGTGAAACTCTGTCTCTTCTGTAGCACTGTGCATTTTGGTGTGTTCCGAGGGCTTGCTACCTCCCTGGAAACAGGCACCTGTCCATGGCTGTGTGTCAGCTTTTTGACACAGGTGTCACTAATATCCATGACTTCTGGTTCCATCTTTTTTTCTCACTGTATGTGCAAGCAATAGAGCAGGAATAATCAAATTTTAGCATGTGGAGTAGAATGAGCAAAATGAATATTTGGGAATGTAAATGGTCCATTAGGAAACCTCTGTTTGGAGTTTTTAAGACAATATCTATTAGAAATTGTAACACTCATCTGCACAAAGTTTTGTTACTGATTACAGTTCAGCAGTTGCAGCAAACTTTTCTCACCTGTTTTTGTTGGACAAGTTGAATGTGTGAGAAACTGCATCAGACAGATGTGCAGTGCACAGGGCATGTGTGGAGGTTCAGGTGGACTGAACTGCCACACTTCAAATTGTTCTTTTTCCAGTGACACAAAGTACTGTTGGTCTTTAATATAAGCCCTGGCAAACAGGAATTGGAAAAGCTGAAACAAGTGTAATTTCTGTTGTGCTCCGCAGGCAGCTCGAGGAGAGGTGACAGGCAGAAGTGAGTGGTCCCTGTAAGGAAACTCTGTGATCTTATAGCTGGGATCTTAATGCAGAGGTAGAGACATCTGTTCACAGTGGTAAGAACAGTAAGAAGAGCAGGTGTATTCATTTATGCTCTTTGACAGTCGAAGCTCCTGTTAATAATTTTATCCAAACTTGCCTTGAAGATGTATAACTTGCTGAAGCGTGAAGTGATGTAGCCTGAGAGGAGAGGGAACAAGGGCACAGACCACCTCTGGGCAAACTAAGAAACAGTTTGACAGAGACATTGTATTGGAATTAAAACTTTGTTCAGGAGAAAATTCTTAATAATTGGATTCAAAAGCTAATTACTGAGCTTATGTTGTATGCCAGTGCCTTTAAATTTTTATTTTTTTTTTTTTTTAACTCTCTGAGGATGCTTGATGCTATGACAGCCTCCTCAAACAGCTGCTCTTTGTAATCGGGTGCACTGGAGTGAGCGATGGCCATAAAGGAACTGAGTAGTGTGTGAGAGGAATTGAATTATGTTAACACAAATAGAAGATACGCTTAAGTGCAGAACATCTTGCTGTTTCACATTTTCATTTTTTAATTGAAGTAATGTCTAATAAGCTAATATAGTGTGGGAAGAAGTATGGTAGATGTCAGTGATAAAATCCTGAAAAATTCTTGTGGGAAAAATGAAAGAGGAGAGTGTATATGCGTGGGATAAGGGAGTGCTGAAGAGAAACTCCAGTTAGATTTCTATCAGAAGAGAAGTCTGGAAAGCTGTTTTCCCATAGGATAAAAGTCTTAACTTCTTTTGTGAATCGTCATCAAGGTTTGGTGTTGCAACGTGACCAAATGGCATTAACTTGGGCCTGGAAGGTGAAAGTCTTGTCCAGCTATTTGAGATCAGAAGGATACCCAGCTGTGCTAACTACCTGCTGGATGAATTTGGGAAATAATGCTTTATGGTCTGCAGATAAAAATCAAACAAGAAAACCCTGCTTACATAATTAACAACTTCTTTTGTCTCAGCTTTGCCACTTTCTTGCAGTGATGCTCTGGGCATAGTCGTTGGTGTTCGCTCTGAGTAGAAGCGGACCTGATTGAGTGTTGAGGCAATTGGTATTGTCAAGATTACTTCTGTAGAAGAAAAAAGTGTCATGTGTTACTAATTCCTATAGCATAATCCTCTTTCAAGTGTCTTTTGTAAGAAATAGGTGGGCTGATGAAGCTAAGGAAAGGTTAAAGTATTTTGGGATTCAGTCAGACCAGAGGCAGCTAAAAATCCTTCAACTTCTGTCTCATTGGGAGCCCTATTTTTTCTCTGACTAGTAAATCCTACTGGCACAAAGTTGCATGTTCCCCGTACTTAAAGTTGCAGCCCTGTAGCTATTCAAGGAGAAGGAAATTGCTAATGAAGAACAAGTAGATAAAAATAATGGAAGAATTAAGCAAGGGAAATAAAGCTCTAATTTATGTTGTATAAACGTTTGAACAGCAACAGTGCTAGAACCAGTTTTGAAACTAATATATAAGGTGAGCTTGACGTTGGGATCTTGACACGGAGCTGGGAGCTGCTGTTCCTACAGGCCTTATCTGCCACTGCTAGTGAGGGTAGCTATCAAAATTAAAAATGGTGTCAAAACCACTTTTTAATGTCATAGTATAGAAGGCAGATTCTCTGCTCAGTGCTTCAGTATTAACCATTACTGTGTCTGGTGATTGAAGCACAGCTGCAGATTTGTGTCAGTGTAGGTGAGATCTGAGTCCTGTGCATTTTACTAAGTTCATGTTGCTAAGTTTGGTATTACTGTGATTCTTGTTATATGTTACCAAGCTACATCAGAAGAGCCCTCTAGCTCTACCTGTATTTCATGCATTTAAATAAATTCTTCTTTATTACATCTCTGGCTCTGCCAAGGATATGGTCACGTTTCATCTTAAGTCTAAATGTGTGGCTGCTGTCCTTTTAGACTGTTCTTTTCTGATTAAAATAATGCTGTTTTTTTCTCACTTTGTGGCTAGCTGTACCCATGCAATACAATTTATTCTTGGCTGTTGCTCATCTCACCTTCAAAAATACTTTACAATGCCAGGGGTTGCCCTTATAGCTATGCACATAACTGTGTGGTTCAGTTACTAATTTCAGAGGGGTTTTTGCTCTTATGTTTTTCCACATTTTTTTGTTCTGTGCTGAAACTTCCTGCTATGTGGTTCAAAAGGCACTTTATGATCATTTTTGTTTTTCACACAAATTGGTTGAGCCTTGTTTGGGCTACATGCTCATGAAAGAGAAGTCTTTTTTTCAAAATAGCCAGAACACTGTCTGTCCGCTGCTGATCTTTTTAATGTCAAACTGAGCCTGAACCTCCTCAAGGAATAAGCTGTTATGTCAGGAAAAATAATTGTCTGGAACACAGCAGTGCTGTGAGGAATGTTTGAAAATGTGAGAGAGAGCACAGGAGGAACTTTGCACTGCTTGGGACATACTTGCTGTATAAAACTGCCCCACATGTGTTTTCTTAGGTTATACAATTGCCTGTAAATTTTTTGAAAATATTTCTTGGGGACTTAAATCTCCTGATGTTAAAAACAAAAGGGGAATGAGTTTGGCTTTTTGAGAAGGGGAGTGTGATTTTGCTTTACAGGTTAAACAGCTGCTGTTTCAGACTGTGCAGAGCAGGTTTGTATTAGCCATGTAGTTGAAAGCATGGTTTGTTTTTTGTTTTGTAAGCAGTGGTTGCCACTGGGTCGTTCGAATGGATGGGAGTGGAGGTTTCCTGATGATGCTCTGTTTGTTAAAGTGGATAACCTGTGTGGATTAGGACAATGGTTGTCTGACGTTTTATGACATTGGTGTGGTGTTCTTGGTAGTCTTTTGTGACTCTTAGCCACATGATCTTAACATTACAGTGAAGATGTTTAGCAAGAAGTAAAAATGATGGCATGTATGTGAAACTGGTTCAAGAAAACATTTGATGGCTACCAATCTCTGTCGTTCCAAAATAGCACTTAACCAGGTGCTGAAGTTCAGATCAGTGGGGCTTAGGTGCTGTGTACAAAAAGCTCTGCATGTTTACAGGCCTGTTTGCTTCCTTGTAGCTCTGTGGTGGCAGTGGGATTGCCCAGACATCACTCGGCTGGTAACACCTTCACCGTCCTCCTGCGGGGTGAGTGTGCTGGCTCTCTGGCCCCGGTCAGTTCGAAGGCATTTGACAGTATGGGGGCAAACTCCTCATTTGGCAGGATGGGGGCAGTACAGCTTAAGGAATTCCTACCTGTTTCTAGTCTGTCTTGCCCGAGTTTAGAAAAAGATAATTTTCAACTTTGATTACTTTGTCGATCACTTTCACCTTGTGCTCATAGCTTGGGGTGTTTGGGGGACGACTGAGTGGGGTGCCTTGGTGCAGGGCAGGGTGGGTGGGAGGGAGGAGGCAGCACTTGCCTAGGCTGCTGTGACAGTTCTGATCCCACACTGAGAAGCTGTGCCCTTATTGCATATGTATAGGTAGATCTTTAAGTGAAACAGTCATATCCTGACAATTTGATATTGAGATTATTAAAATTAATTTCTGTTCTGAGCACCAGTATCAGCTTTTCTATGTGGAGTTTGTTTTGGAAAGTCATACAAACATCTTCTGTTTGCAGGCTGTTTTATTAGTTTATGTAGGTACGTAAAAGGGCACTTCACAGTTAAACAAATACGCATCATACAAACTTGTAGCAAATACCATTTCATCACTATAGTTTGTGACCACTTAGATTAAGACATCCTTTCAAATAATATTTTATGGTACAGCAGTGTATAAGGAAATAGATTTATGAGGATTCCATTTTGATTTGTGAACTCCATTCATGATATTCACATACTTTTGTAAAGATTGATTTAACTACATCCTATGTTGAAAAGCTACCCAGCACTTCCTTACAGATAAAGTAGATTGTGTAGAACCTAGTCTATATTAAAAAGTTGTACTGGGTTAACTGCCCTGGGACCTCATCTGATTCAGTGTCCTTTCTTTTCTCAGAATGGGGGAACTGTGAATTTTCCCATCTTTATCTTTAGTACTGCTGACTACTGAGATATTTACCAATGGGGCTTGTCTAATACAAGGAAATATAAAATGTCTGGGAGTAGTCAGCGTTAGTGTACATCATCTGTTTTCCCATTTTGTTCAAATGGAAACAAAGCTTGGCGTTTAATGAGAAATTTCTGGAAAGTCTCATTTTCAGTTTTTCTAATCTCCGTTGTATGTGTTCTGAAATGTAGCTGCAGCTTCGTTAGAGGGCACTCTTGAATAACCCATAGTGAGACTGCTGTCAGACAGCATTCACCACATACTCTTCAGAGAAGAGTCCTGATGCAGCTGTAATTTCCCACTCCAGAGTAGAGAGTGTGAAGCCAGCGATGGATTACCCTATATACTTTGCTATCTTATAATGCAGGGCAAGATTGACTACACTGCAGGCTGATTTAATGCTTGTGCTCTATATGGAACATAGCAATAATCTGTTAGATAATTCACTATAGTTTTCCAAGTGTGGATTAATTAATTTAAATTAACTTGCTTTTCTCATGACCTTTATTCCATAAACTGCCTTGATCCTAAATGTATATCCACTTTGGAACTTTTTTGGTACTGTTATCATTTAAAAAAAAAAAAAATCCTTTAGAAGCAATAGATTGCTTCAGAAACTATTAGGCTTTAATTCCAGCCTTCACATCAGTTCCTTCTATACCTTTGACAAATAGCTTATCGTGTCTTCTTTCACTTTCCTTCTGTAATAAAGAAGATAATGATTTTTACCTTGGGAGAATTAATCAATGTATATAAATGTGCTTTGAAATTTGAAGTGTTTTAGATTTAAAAATACAATTAAAATATTGAACAAAGCAGGAGTCGGGGAAAACAAATTTAAGACCTTGATTATTGCTCAACTGCTTTGGTGCTGCTTCTGTTCTGGCAAGATTATAGAGCCAGATCATTTGCATTACTTTTGATTTTTGATGCTCTTAGTTTTTTGTCCAAGGAGAAGCATTCTTTATATGCAGGAGTCAGATTGTCTGTAAACATAAACATAATCTTAACTTTATCCAAAACATACCTTGTTTGGCTTTTAGAACAGCATACCAAACCGGTGTAACTTGAAACGTTTTTTCTGAGCAATTAGCACTGAATCATACCTACACCGGGTAGGCTTGGCAAAACTGAAGTCATGTTTCCTACGCTGGAACCGTGCCTACATAGTATAAACCTCAGCTTCAATATATTGCTTTACTCAGCCTCTGAATTCCCACTTCTGTATTAGCATTGCTGCTAGTAGGTGGGTTGTGTGTATCTACTCATTGGTGGTGCTCGTGTGCCTCTCAAAGATGAGCGAAGAGGCATTGCATGGGGATGGGATTTGAATGTCACAGAATAGGACAGTAGCAGCTATGAACAGAAACCAGTTGTCTGGCTGAATGACCCATCTCCTTTCTGGGAAGTATCAGTTCTACCTGGGACTGGCACGTCTATATTACCAGGGGTTTAGTCTGAGTGACTGTACCATCTGTAGTTTCTGAGAAAAAATTTATTTGCCGGACTGGCAAATGGAATTTAAGATGAAATGGAATGAGTAAGGACTTCCCTGGTAGGAAAAAAAAAAACCACTGAGCCTAAAGCATTTTCATCTGTGGGGCTGGGGATTGTATTTTTAATGGTTTTGAAAAGCTCAGCTTTTGTGATTTCTGTAAATGACATTAGAAATGACATTTTGAATGACAGAGGCTTTAGCCAAAATCTTCTCCCCCTCAGTGTTATACTCTGTCCCATATGTAGATGCCCTCTCATGTTTTTTACCACACATATTGTTTGGATGTTCTAAAAAATAATAGTAATCTAACAGCCAGTGACATCTACAGAACGTGCTGAAAAGAAGCTCCGACATGCTTCTGTGAAATACTTTCTTCCGATGTTGAGTAGCATCTCCTACAAATATTTTCTCACACAACATTTCTGTGGAATTGAAAGGGGTGTTTTATGATGATTTATGTTTTGGTCTTTGTCATTCTTTGAAGACTAGCTGGAGTTGTGTAGTGAAATGTTTGCATGGGTTAGCCAATGCCATCTTAATGGCATGATGTAATTAGTAGATGAAAGTGTCATTTTTGCTTTAGCTCTGAAATCAGTTCCAGGTACCATCTGATTTTTATTAAAAAAGACAGCTGCAGTTCTTAGTCGTATTTATAGTTACAATCAGTATTGTACTTAAAATGTTCTGCCAAATCCTCCTTATTTTTCACTGTGCAACAGCAGTGACTTGTCTTTTGGGGATCTGGAGACCAAATGTATGTTTCTGGGCAGTATTTTGAGGATGTCACTGTGTCTGTCGTTTCTTGAGCACCTCCCTGCTGTTAGCCTACCTCCAGAGTGACATTTTGATATGCCAAGTTATTGTGTTGGTCTCGGAAGATGTGGGACAAATAGGTGTCTGATATGGGTAGGTAGCAACAACTGGAGAGTGTTTCCTTCTTAAATACGAGTGAAAAAGCCACTACTAATAGAATTCAAGGGGAGAAGTAGTATGTGTGTTTATAAAAACACAGTAGAGGAACATATTGGGGCCTCTTTTTTTTTTTTTTTTTTTCTTCTTCCTTTTTTTTCCTTTTCAGTAGAAGCAGTTTAGTTAAGAGCCCGGTGCTAGCTGGCTGACTTGTCATAGGTTTAAGTGCCAAGAAGTAAATATTTTTAAGTAAAGCAAATGCAGAACTTTGGGGATATACTTAATGCACAAAAGAAAGAAAAAAAGAACAAAACTGAAAAAACCCTTTTGTGTACAGTGTCCAGAGCAATTTTAAAATGCTTTTGTTCCATGCCTAAACAAATGGTTATTTCAGCCAAGGTTGTTTCAGCCAAAGAGAAATCTTTGCTATTGATTTATTACACCAATTTAGATATAAGCCCTCTGTGCAGGATTGTCAGTTTAATAGAACAGCTTTCTTTCTCCTTTCAGATTTAATCCACATGTTGTTGTATCAACAGAGCCTTTGTCTCTGCTCAGTTATGACTTATCCTTTTTTAATTAAAAAAAAAAAAAAAAGTGAAAACACATGTTTTTTAACAGCCCTATTTACAAAAAAAAAGCGTAGGATGACATAGGGGAGAGGTGACCATCAAATAATGACTCTGATTTGTAGGTAACTTCAAAGTGGTGCTGCAAACGAAAGAGTGAAAAATGGACCTTTCACCTCTTCCTGTTGCAATGATTGTGGACAGTTCGAGTGAGAGGAGGAGACAGCATTATCTTTAGCCAGGATTTCCTAGATTTTTTTTCCCCAGCTTGTGCGGTGATGCTAAACATGCTCTTTTTAGTTAACTCTAATTTCCTTCCTTTTTTTTTAAAGAGGGACTTATCCAGAGGTGTATGTAATTCACATTTCCTTCCTTCCTGCCTCCCTCTCCTGCAGAGAAGGATTTCTTTCTTGGACCCCTCCTGTTTTCCAAATGGAGAGGAATTACTCTCAGGAAACTCATGAATTTGGTGTTATTTCTGTACTTGGTTTTGTGAGAAAACATTTATTTGAGTATCACTGCTTACTGGATACCTACATGAGGGTTCAGAAGTGCATGTTAGAGCTGCTTAAGTTCACCACATTGTTCCATTATAACCTTTTTTTGGACATCAGCACACAGCTAACAGCATCATGAATTGGTTCTATAGATTTACTTCAATACATCCTGAACTGGCTGCTTGGTGGCTGGATGCAGCCAAAGGCAGAACAAGTTGCAATATCTGTCTTTGGTGCTAGCCTGGTTTCTTCCAGCTTGTGTTAGACTCCTGGCAGTCATCACAGTTTCCCTTAATTTGCTTTCAGATGTCAGCACAGCCGATCCCACCTCAATGTCAATATAATTATTTGCAATGGTGTGATTTTAAAAGAAGCTAATAATAACATGTCTTCAAGTAGAAGGAATTTGTCTGGCATTTAAAAAATGTGGAATGATCCTATTCTACCTCTCAAAGTTATAGAAGATCCACCTTAGAGACTTTAGTAGTCAGTGTTAGGAAAAAGAAGGTTGTATCCTTGCTGCCTGAAGCAGATAGCAGGCCTGGTAGTGACAATTGTGGCTCTGAGGAAAGAGTAGTCTTGCATATCAAGGCAAATCCCTTGGTCCACCAGGCTCTT